AACAAGCCCCAAAGAAGCAACACATACATGATGTTGTGTAATTTGAAACCAAAACTAAGGCCTCAGGATGACTTTAAGACTTGAACATGGTCATTTTTGTTTTGTAACATTGAATAAAAAAAAATTAAAAAAAGTATTTTATTAAAAAAAAAAATTTAAATCCCTATCCCCGATTTTTTTCTCCCGATTCCGATCTTTTGAAAATCACGTGATCGGCTCCGATCCCCAATCACGCGATCGGATCGGGACATCTCTAACATATATTGTTTCAGAGATTGCCAGAGATATTTCAGCAATATTTTCCAGTAAAGGTCTCAGATTTCCAGGACTGGAACAAAGCCAAACTGACTTCCTCTTCGTGCGCTCTCTAAATTCATTCAGCCTCCAACATTGTGAACCAGGTGTCACCCTGTGAAGCAGGTTATCGCAGGTGTGGCAAAATGACTTACATGTGGCCTAACAAGTTGTTGACCTTGTCGACTCCCTGTTTATACAGTTGGAGGGCAGGGTGGAGGAGCTGCTGAAAGAACTGAAGGAATCTCGGGATAAACTCATCCATCAGGACCATGCGGCCAAGGCTGCCCTCCAGCACATGCAGAAGGAAACGTCACACAGGCTTGAACAGGTATAACGGGGACACAAATAGTTGACAAGCTGATCACACTATGTAGTTTCGCCCTAGTCTGACCCGTATTTGCACGTCTGGATTTGTTCCAGTTGGCTGCTACAGTATCTTTATTTTGCCAATCAAGTTTATCTCCCAATGAAAACTTGTAAATATTATTATTATACCCATTCAATCAGAGGTTTTTTTTCATTTTTTTGTGGAACTATGGTAGGAAATGAAACTTCTGTATTAATTTAATGTAGCGTGCATTTCAGTTTTACCCAGGACCCTTTACATTTCTTTCGAGTCATCTGATCAAATGTTTTAAATGATAGCTATGGACATTTATCCAGTCCTGTTTGGAATAAAAGGAGAGACTTGCCTTAAGTGAAGATGATTAGATTTCTTCGAGTTGAATTAGTGATAACATCAGACACTTCTACCAAATGCTTTAGGGATACTTGGTGATATACACATTTATATAAGATGGAATGGGATGCTCAGTTGTTTGAGTATTATTGATATATTGACTACAGCTTCTGTGGTCAGAGATGTCCGGCAACTGTCAGAGAGAAATGGAGAGAAAGGCATTTCAAACCACAACACACCACTTGTTTGCACTCTTGATCATCAAGACATTCAACATAAATAATTAATGCTGTATGTGTACAAGAAAATGGGTTTTCAATATCCATTAAGAGAGTTCAGGGATAAGGAACAGTCTTTTGTGAAATGAATTAAAGATTTGCATTCGCATTTGGTGTATGTGTAAACCACGTTTATGCCAATGAATCAATATCACTTGTCCCACTTTAATTAACTAAAGTTGTTTTCATCCTAAGATTTAAATGATGCTAAGATAAAGATTACTCACAGCATGACAAAAATGCAGTATCTTAGTTTTTTCCACTATCTTTATCAATGTTTGCACAAAACAATTACCTGAACGGTCAAGCTCTTTGCTCCCCTAACTCTTGTTATTGCAGATTGAAGAAGAGCACATTTTTCCTCCAATAGTTTCTCCACCTGGCTGAAAGCATGTAGGGCACATTTCTCTTGAGAGTTTTGTCACACTTCCCAATTTCTTAATTTCACTGTTCAGTGAACAATAGGAGGTACATTTTGCACTCGGTCGTCTCGTTTAGCCCTTCCTTATATCAGTCCTTCCTTACAACAAGATGGGGGGTCCAGTCCTAATCAACTGTTGCCCCAGGGGTTTGACACATTTGTTCCATATATTGTATTATATATTTTTTACTTACTGTATTTTATTTAAAGTGCACATTGTGATGCCCAAAGCACAACATTGGCTTTATCTATTTCACTGAAAAACTGAAAAACTCTCATACAGTTTTCCCCTTCTTCTCTTGCTCTCCTGAAAGTGAATATTTCACATAAAAGATAAACCTGAAACTGTGAAGTGGCACATGAGCATTTCGTTGGCATGAGGAATGAACACACAGGTGTGAGACCCGTAGTATGTACCACAGTGTCCTGCTCTTAAACGTGCAAAAATAATAAATAAAGGGTTGATAATTAAAATATTTTCTAGTTTGCATGTGTACTAAATAATGAAGTATTAATACAACCTAGTAAACATTCAAATAGGCAACATCAAATTGCCTTCGTAACATTGCTGTCAAGCGGGTGCATGTCAGCTCTATTTGTAAAATGTATACAAGCTGACAGTGACAGTCAGCACTTTGTTTGCATCCACACTAAAAAAAACGAGGTCGTTCTCACTATCTATCAAACTGTCCATAATTCATTACTTGTACAAGTCAACGTTGACATTTGGGAAATTATACAAGCCTATATTTCATGATCCATTTCAGGTGAACAAGAAGTGTGACGAGGCCCGCCTGGAGAAGGAGGGCATGGTGATGAAGTATGTGCGGGGGGAGAAGGAGGCCCTGGACCTGCGGCGGGATAAGGAGAGTTTGGAGAAGAGGCTGAGAGAAGCCACGAAGGAGGTGGACCGCCAGGCCCTCCGAGGAAACCAGCTGGCTCAGGATAAGGGTCGGATGCAGCAGCTGTACGACGCCAAGGTAAACACTGACAGGTTTACATGCCTTGTTAAAGAGTGTTTGTTTTTAAAACTTTCAATATTAGGACCTAAAAACTCAACAACAGCGATTTAGCCTTAAAGTTACCTATTACAAAGGTACATTACTGTTATTTATGGTAATTAGTTTTTTGTTGCAGTGTTTTGATGTGAATTTAGTATTATTTGCCACTCTGGACAATATAAACATTATTACAACTTATTACTTTGTACTTGAGAGTAAAGGACACCACGTCACATGTTCATTCTCCACATCAGTTTATTATAGACGAACAAACACTGTTTTGTGCATGCTGATTTGATCTTGCTTGTCATTCTTACCATGGTCAGCAGTTTGTTGGATTTCCGACTTGTAAGCTTCCTATACATATTAGAATTAGCAGGAGAAACACATCAGGATTATTAACTATCTCAGCTCAGCCGATGACCCGTTGCTCTCCTAGCCTCTGATCCTGATCCTGCTCTTGCTTCACCCATCTCTCTGTCTCTCAGGAAGGCGAGGTCGGCAGGTTGAGTCGAGAGGTGGAAAAGTTAAAAGAGGAGATCAACTCACATCTCATCAAGGTCAGATGGGCCCAGAACAAACTGAAGAGTGAGGCGGATGCACACAAGGTAATGTAAATGTTATTGACTGTCAAACCGGATCATGTTTTCAACAGATATTACTACTAAAATGTGCTTTGAGTTTACAGGCAGACATAGGGGAAATACATTTTGGTTCCAATGCTACTGTAAACATATCCAAAACACAGAGAAGAGATCAGTATATTTGTATTCCTTTCAGAATACCATTGTGCTTTGGATGTGTTTTGTATTTGGCATGAACCTGAACTTGCTGCGGTCAAATTGTATTTAAATGATACACTGAACACACAGCTACATTTACATATCAAATAAGGTTGACTACATACAGTACAGTACAGTGGGCATATCAGTTTGAACTTATTTTAGATTGGTGGTTAATGTTGATTTCCTCCATTCACCTTACAAACCACACCTGTTGTTTGTCAAACATCTGCATCTGCCAAGTATTTTCAGAATACAAATGGCGTCCCCTTTATCTGCAGCCGCTCCATAAAACACACGATTAGATTTGTCTTTTGATTCAGGGGCGAAATGAAATGGGGGTGAAAATGGTACAGTGATCATCATTAACATTGTAGCTATTTTGAAAATGACTATTACAAAATAATGCTTTTTGTTTTGCCGCCTCCAAGCAAATGCACAACTATAAACAGAGGAAAGTGAATACTCGGTAGTTGCTCAAGGCCGCAGGAGCTGAGCCACTAATGTTTTCTTTTGTGGGGGCTTGTGTGGTTGTTGGGTGTGTACATCACAAATAATATTATGCATTTGCTAGGAAAGAAACAGAAACATTTCCAAGTTACTGCACAGCTTTTATAAATTACGAGTTTTATTCAGAAGCAAAAAGCCTTTTTTACTGTCATTATTACAACATATTGTTTGTTATGTATCTGCGTGCAGGAAACTAAAGACAAACTGAGAGAAACCACTTCCAAATTGACCCAGGCCAAAGAAGAGACTGAACAGATCCGCAAGAACTGCCAGGACATGATCCGAACATACCAGGTCTGTTGTATTTATCACATGGGAGCATTAGTTTGCTCATGATCAATAATGTGAGCAAATATGAAATACCTGTCCATGTGTGAGAAACATCTTGTCTTTGTTTGTTGGATATACTGGAGCTGGAGAATGCATGTTTATTTTTGACAGTTTAACACTTGTGTGCTTAGCAAAGAGTGCAGTCACTGAGCCAACTCACTGAAGATTTGAAACGATTGGTCAAAGAATGAAGTAGTCAAATCTGATTGGACAGTGAGAAATGCATCACACGCTCCTGCCTTCACATACATGGACTGAGTGATTCTATTTCCATGTCATTATTATTATTTTTTTCATTTGTTATATAAACTTTGTAATTAGATGAGCAAAACATTTAGTTTTATTAGAACGGCAGTTTTCATTTAGTCCTTGTGATGGTAGCAGAGAGCCGCTTAATATTTCTCTCTGTTTGAAAAGAGTATTTGAGCCATTGTACTCGATCACAGTGACAGCAGATTTACACAGTAATACTGCATTTATTTAGTTATAATGTACATTGCGACTAATATTCGTATTCACACCATTCTTGCACTTGAACACAATTAATCATAGATTCCAATTTTCAGCATTATTATTTACACCCTGTTGCCGTATATATATATATATATATATATATTTATATTATAGTATGATATGCATATTTGTCATACTTAGTTAACTTTTCTGCATGCACATAATCCATTATGAGTAATATATGACTCAAAAAAGGTGTCGTTTTCCTGTCTATTCCCACTTATCAGCCATTTCTTATTGATTTACTCTTAAGGCAAATAAAGTTGCATGTTATATTTTTCATTTCAACTTCTTTTTTTGTGTGCTCTGGATATGCTGAGCCATTCTTATGTTGTTATATCACCGTTCACTTCCCTCCTCTTCTATTCTCTCTGTCACTCTTGATTGTTGTCTTGTTTTTTAACCTTTTGACCCCCCATCTCCTCCAGGAATCAGAGGAAATCAAGTCCAACGAGCTGGATGCTAAACTGAAGGAGACCAAAGTCGAGCTGGAGAGACACAAGCAGGAACAAACAGGCCAATTAGAGGTGCTAACCACTGTGCTCACACACAAACACTTTCAAACACACACACCTATATGTATACGCAAGTACTCATTAGTGTGCACATTAGCTTAAGTAGGCACTTTCAGTCCTGGACCAAAGGTGAAGCTTTACCATAAATATTAGTTGTTTATATGCTTGCATACGTGTTGATTAACTATGTTCCTATTTGGTTCTTGGTGACAATTCACCAAAAAATACAAAACAAACATTTATACAGATTTCCTACTAATTCAAAATTGCATAAACCTTCTGTTCCGCCATGCCATTATTCAGCACTTTATTGATGGGTTTTGATGCCAGCTATTCTAGTAAAAGGTTTATTTTCAGCTGTTTTCATCACTATGAGAGATGTAATTGCCTTTAAATAAGANTGGACCAAAGGTGAAGCTTTACCATAAATATTAGTTGTTTATATGCTTGCATACGTGTTGATTAACTATATTCCTATTTGGTTCTTGGTGACAATTCACCAAAAAATACAAAACAAACATTTATACAGATTTCCTACTAATTCAAAATTGCATAAACCTTCTGTTCATGTGACTGTTTGTTTAAAGGTCACGCCCACACAGGAGACCAAGTCCATGCCATTATTCAGCACTTTATTGATGGGTTTTGATGCCAGCTATTCTAGTAAAAGGTTTATTTTCAGCTGTTTTCATCACTATGAGAGATGTAATTGCCTTTAAATAAGAATGAGTAACCAACTGGCACATGGGCTCTACAGGCTGACACGCATGCACACGGCACTGACATGGACTGAATCCAAACACAATGGCCTGTTTTTCTCTCTGCCTCGTTCTGAGGGGAAATGCTCTTTAAAAATAAATGGCCTAGAAATAATCAATATAGCTGTGGGTTACAACAACAACCCAGAAGACATCTCGCATGTCTTTCCACCCTGCCACACTCTGGTTTGTTTACTCAGGATGTTTACAAGACCTTCAATTTAAATCCACAAATATCACGCCTCACTAACCGTTTTGTTTCCCCTTCAGTTTGCTTTCACCCCTGTTTTTTTCATTCCATTTGTTCATTTACAGATTACAATGTTAAACACTGAGTTGATATACAGTGTATTGTAGGCCTGTATTGTGTGTCAATTGTTTTTAGAAAAGATTTCTTAATGTAGCACTTCAGTTTAGGCAGGTAGCGCTTCCCTGCTGATGAAAAAATTGATCTAAATCTGTGCCAATTTTAGTATATGCTCAAAGTATGATTCAACTTAGTCATAAATAATGCAAAACAAAGCAGTTGGGTGTCCATAACGCTGTAGGTGTTAACATTAAAAAAGGATGGGCATGATGAATGGAGGGAATAGACGGTAAAGTTGCCGGCTTCTCCGTTAGTGGCATGTTGTCTTGGATACCACAGGCTACTAATTGCTTCTTGGAAAAGTTGACTAGCAGTCGTATCATTAATGGCTTTGTTCCAAAGATGTTATTAACGTTATTAAGCTTTTGCATGTGTAATGGCGGCATAAACAAAATAATGTTAATGAATGCCACAGTAAGATTTCCAGGAAGTGCATCTTCATTGAAAAGATGCTGCAGGATTTATTTATTTTTTCCCAGAAAGAAATTTGTTACATAAGTCTGACTGAGGGTTAAGTCACGGCCCCTACACACGGCGGCGTGCGTTGTCGCTTGCCGGCGGGGGGGGGCTGAAACTCGACCAACAACCAATCACATGAATCTCCCGCCCCAGACACACAAGCACGCGGTTTGATTGGCTAGAGCTTGCACTGGCATATGATTCGATTGGCTGACGCCTCCGTCGAGGCGTCAAAAGTAGAACATTGCTCTACTTTTGCAGCGAGCACCGCGAGAGAAGCTACGCTTTACTCCCACAATGCAGTTCGGCGAATCGTGACGTCACCCCATTCAAAGTGAATGGGCAGAAGCGTTGAAGCCGCAACGCACGCCGCCGTGTGTAGGGGCCGTTAATGTGTCAAACAATAACTAAATTGGTCCTTTGTAAATTCTGATTGTGATCAATTAGATGAAACACAGATAAGAAACCTTAGATTCTTAGCCTAGAAACTGAAATTATTTTGAAAGTAGAAAGTTTATAAATGGATAATCTCATATCTAATGTATCTGGCAGGTGCATCGAATGAAGGCCAAAGAGCTGGATGACCTGAAAAGGAGCTACAAAGAGGGCATGGATGAACTCGTTACTCTACGAACCAAGGTTTGTCATATAAATACGCACTTGAACATGTGTGTGCACATGTCACCGGCAGGACTTCACGTTAATTAAGGGTGTGTGTGTGTTGTTCTGTAGTTAAAGTGTCTAGAGGACGAGCGACCACGCTGGGAGGACGAGCTGAGCAAGTACAGGGAGATCATCAACCGGCAGAAAGCTGAGATCGGACGCCAGAGAGACAAGCTGGAGGAGATCACTGCGCTTGAGGAGCAGCATCAATGGTACACACACACACACACACACACACACACACACACACACACACACACACACACACACACACACACACACACACACACACACACACACACACACACACACACACACACACAGAGTGATCATGCAGGAACAGAACTTTAAATGCCAGGCATAACTGGTTTGATAGAACAGTGTAATATAGTTCTACTGCAGGTACCTTACTGCAGGATTCAAAGGTAGGCCAGGGACAGATATAGCGCACTGGGCAGAGAGGGACTCTGGCCCCTCTGTGGCTCTGCAGGCCGTATGCAGATGACTTGAGAAACTAGAAATTAAAATGCTGCATTCTGTGAGAGCCATAAGTATGTGGCGCCAACCCAGATAGATTTATGCAAAAGCTTCTCTACTTTCTTTCTGGCTGTCATCCTGAGCAGCATGACGTTCCTTCACCACTCGCACCAAAAACTAATTTGTTGGCAGACAGAAAATAATTTGATTCCACCAGTTCTTTGCTCTGTAGAAAACTTCACTACCAGTGGAGATTGTGACCTTTATCCTGACTCGCTGGCTCTGGTCGAATAGTCTTTTTTAGCTTGAAGTATCAAGGCAGCCGTGATAAGAGCTGTTTGAATCCCCTAAATGCTATGGAAGGCATCTGCAATGCTTCCTTTCTTATCTCCTATAGCATAGGGTACACTGGACCATCCTTTTTGAGGGAACAGAAGATAATGCGATCCCACAATTCCTTGCGGCAGTAACATTAAACCACACGGCAGACGCATATGATAAAATCCTCTGGTGCATAGTTACATAGCCTACTGTAAGTGCAGTCTGCTTAGCCCTCGTGGTAGTCTTTTGAATTCTCCATCCCATATTGACCTCATAGCGTTTTTCATTGAGGTCAGGGTTAAGGTTAGTTATTTTGAAAATGTATCAAATTATCTATCTTCAGTGGTCCATTACAAATGACTTATTTGAATGAAATAATGGATTACCAATTGAAAGAGTGAACTATTACTGGTATGAATTATGTCACTCACGTATTACATGTTTGCAACACAATATCTCTAAGTCTATTTTCTGTTCTTTATAAAGCAAAATTGCCTGTTTGTCATACAGTGGTCATGTATGCTTGTCTCCCTGACAGCACTTATTTCACACACACAAAATAATCAAAGTTCATTATGAATCCATTTAATATGAGCCAATAATTATTTCGTCCCGCAGTGATAAACAGGAGGTCACGTCTCTTCGTGAGGAAGTGGACAGCCTGAGCACCCAGATGGCTGACCTCCAGCGGGACGTCGAGGGCAGCAGGGAGCGCGAGGCTGAGCTGCTGGGCTTCACGGAGAAGCTGAGCAGTAAGAACGCCCAGCTGCAGTCGGAGAGCAACTCTCTGCAGTCTCAGCTGGACCTGCTCAGCAGCAGCTTCGCCGAGCTGCAGGCCAAGCTGGAGGAGACCAACCGGCTGCTGGACGACAAGGTGAGGGAACTCTGGACAGAGGAGTGATATGTAGGAGTGGTACAGGACAGATGAGTGTTCTGGCCTGGATACAATTTCCTTGGACAGTGGTGTTTTAGACAATCAGAAGAACATATTGAAGCAGTTTCTTCTTTTTTTTTACTAGTTTTTATTTATTGATAAGGTTTGTCCATACATGTCCTTTGCTCAAAACACAAAACACATTTCTTCTTAGTTGATGTTAAACTAACAAAGACAAATGTCATATTGTATGCCTTTTTAATCTAAAAGCAGTTTTATTTTTTTATTTTACCTGCATTTTAAAAATAAATTCTTTAAAAAATAAAACGGCTAAATAAAAAGGAACAATAAAAACATATAGCCAACCTAATTAAATAAGTATTATTTAAAATAAACAGCCAAAATAATTATAAAAGTGATAAGTTTAAAATAAATTGGCATGTATCATAATAAGGTACTTTTCATTAAAAAGGGAAAAGACAAAATGTTAATTGCAAATTTCTAAAGGGTTTAGGATTCGTCCTCATAATGTCATCAAAGCTTTTCTCCTTGCTTCATGTCATAGTGAAACAAACTCCTAGATAGGCTTGGCACAGATATAAATACATAGACGACACAGGTATTTTTTTCTATTCAATCACAGGTTGCGAAACTAAGTTGTTTTCGGGACAAGCAGCCGTCGTGGAGTTATCTAGCCACTCTATCACGGCTGCTTCATTAGTCTAACCCCCCCCCCCTGTCTCCATTTCCCTTGCAGTCTCGACAGTTGAAGCAGGAGGGGTCTCTGAGGCAGCAGGAGGTGCAGGGCCTGCAGGAGGAGCGGGCGGCGCTGCAGACGGAGGCGGACCAACTCAAAACCAGAGTGGAAGAGCTGAGGGACGAGCTGGTGACTCAGAAAAGGAAACAAGCCGCCAGCATCAAAGACCTGACGAAACAGCTAACACAAGGTTAGGAAACGGGCTTACAGTATATTTCTGTAGCTCACCACGGTACAGTGCCCAACTTAATGTGACTGTTTCATCAGCAGATAAAGAGATTACGCCTAATGAGAGCCATGTAGCTCAGTGTGATGCTACTGTACAATCATGAAGCAGTGTCTCAGCTTGTTCCATAGCTTAAAGACAGACGTCTGATTACTAAATTCCTATATCCAGTTAAAAACGACCTATATATAAAGATTGTATCGTGAAAATATGGTTGAAATTTGATAAGATAACTTCTAGCAAAACAACCACAACACTGATGGCTGAAGGGGGAAAAAAATACTATACATTTAAAAAAAAAAAAAGAAGTATTTTGTTCTCCCCTTTTTATTTTCTAGAATTACAGTAAATTAGAGGATTTAAATTCCAAGGTATCAAAAGTGTTATATTATTTATTTCCAAATATAGATTTCCTTCCCATCATCTAATTTGACTTCACTGTGATATTTATCTTGACCACCATGGGGTCAAGAGCCTTCAGCCACTCTGCCCCCCGTCTCTGGAACTCTCTCCCACGAGACATCCGCAATATGGACTCACTCTCAACCTTCAAATCCAGCCTGAACACACACCTTTTTAAACTGGCGTATTCAATACCTTAATTTTGCTAAACTGATTGTTGTTTTTAAGTCTTTGTTTTTGAAGTCTTCTATTACTGTGTGATCTTCTTTGTTGCTTGTTTTTAAATTATGCTCTGTAAGGTGTCCTTGAGAGCTTTGAAAGACGCCCATAAATAAAATGCCTTATTATTATTATTATTATCTTTTATTACGGAATGACAGGACTGAGAGGCTATCTCTCCTCTGGATTTTAAGAGTAGAAAGTGCACGGTGATTAGAAACAAGAGAGATGGGAGTGCACTATTAAAAGAGAGATAATGTTCTTCCCTCGTGCTAAGGTTATACTTAATACACTAAGTTGTCAGCTGGGACCGATTTTTATTAGAAGAGCCAGTGTTCATTCATCAGTGTTGCTGTTACAGCTTCCCACCGTCATTTTCAGCCTTAGTTTATGCATGGGAGGTTTGCTGAGTGGGCACTTTTATTTAAGAGCAGCCTGCATCACCTTTTATTCAGGTAGACACCTTCACAGAGGAAAAGTTCAGTCAAGCAATGAAGCTCGCCTTTGACTTTCAGACTGCCTTTTTGAGGGCTTCTGTTTCTTATAGTTAAGAGTTCCTTTTTGCATAGATGAGTAACACCTACGTCACTTCCGGGAGAAAATTACGGCCCCGCCCACTTTTGGGGGAAAACAACGCTGTCATTTGAATGGCGGTCAATACAAATTCTGAAGTTTTTGCCAATCCGATCAGACATTTTTGAAAACCGTGGATTTTTGGATCTTCAAAGAGCCCGATTACGATGGCCAGTCAGGCAAACAATTACATTAAATCATTGGAAATCGACGATCGGGCTCGATATATGTTTAAATTAAAATCAGTAGGCGAGGCTGTAATTTTGCCAGCTGTTACTCTCATGATTGAGGCGGAAAATAATTGTTTTATCATGCCAAAAAGCTGCCGTGTCGTTTATTGCACCTCAAACATTAAAACAAATCTAGAGTTACGTTTTTTCTGTACTTCCTCTAAGAAAAAAGGACAGTGAAAGAAGAGCTCTGTGGCTTCAGGCTTGATTCAAATTCATTCAAATGACAGCGTTGTTTCCCCCAAAAGTGGGCGGGCCGTAAAGTGACGTAGATGTTACTCTCATCTATGGCTATAGTACATTTGTACAAGTCATAATCCCTGGAAGTGTTGTCTGTTACCTTGAGGATAATGTTTATCAACAGAAAAAAAGCTTCTGATTTCGACAGTTTCCAAAATCAATTATTTTTTAAAGTTATTTATAAAGAGGAACTATCAAATTTTGTCCAGTAATAACCCTTTTTAATACATATATTTGCTTGCTTTTCTTTTGTTGACATGATTGAATTACATTTTTCCCTCACTGCATTATGTTTTAGTTAATAACTTACTCTAATGTTCAGCAGTCAGCAATACCAACAATATATTTGTTGTGAAAGCATGCATCTTAACATTCAGATTGTTTATCATAGAGACTCACAGTTATTTACTTCTTTCTTCTACAGCTCGTAAGAGATTGGAGCATGTTGAGAACGGAGGCTGTGACCGGGATGCCAGCAGTATGGGCAGTCGCTCAAGTTCCTCAGGTACTGCTCCTGGATTTGGTTAGTATTCAACACATACAGAATTAATACCATAGAAGAATTTAGATTTTACAAATATTTGTCCTACAGTTGTGTAATTTTTTTCTGGTGGCATAAAAACCCCTCCAAAGAAAATATAGTTTATTTAAAGGGGACCTATCATGCAAAATGCACTTTTTGATGTCTTTTATTCATAAAAATGTGTCCCCGGTGTTTCGGGGAACTCACGCAGCGTCAGAAAATAAAACCCTCTCTCTTTTCTTCCGTACCCAAATCTCTAAAAACGGGGCTACAACGGAGCTGATCCAGATTTGCGTCTGATATGACGTAATATCGGAAAAGTAGGCTGGCTTTACACCCACCCACGGCCCTATCAGGAACGTTGCTATCAGAAACAATGGCCGACTGTTTTGGACGTAATATGGTCGGTGCATGTTTACATTAGCATCGCTAACACTCAGAGCTAACCTGTACTGC